ATAAATCGGCCAGAAATTTAAAACGCGCTGTTCGCATAGTAGATGACTTTCATTCCTTTCTATTCTCACGTTCTCTCATTTTTGTGTTAAAATGCAGCTTTGACAATGCTACGAGTAGAATGAATTTTAAGATTTCAATTTCGCAAATTGATTCATTGGTTTAGGTTAAGTTTAGGTTAGGTTTATAATCTAAGATTTTTAACTTTACCTAATTTTAGATTAGGTTTATAATCTAAGCTTTTTAACTTCACCTAATTTTAGGTTAGGTTTAGGTTAGGTTTACAATCTAAGATTTTTAACTTTACCTAATTTTAGGTTAGGTTTAGGTTAGGTTTATAATCTAAGATTTTTAACTTTATCTAATTTTAGGTTAGGTTTAGGTTAGGTTTATAATTTAAGATTTTTAACTTTACCTAATTTTAGGTTAGGTTTAAGTTAGATTTTTAACTTTACCTAATTTTAGGTTAGGTTTAGGTTAGGTTTACAATCTAAGATTTTTAACTTTACCTAATTTTAGGTTAGGTTTAGGTTAGGTTTATAATCTAAGATTTTTAACTTTACCTAATTTTAGGTTAGGTTTAGGTTAGGTTTATAATCTAAGATTTTTAACTTTACCTAATTTTAGGTTAGGTTTAGATTAGGTTTACAATCTAAGATTTTTAACTTTACCTAATTTTAGGTTAGGTTTAGGTTAGGTTTTAACTAACTAATTTTTAAGTTTTACTTTTACTAGCTAATTTTTAGGTTTTACTTTTGCTAAGGTTGCTTAGGTTTAACTTTTAACTAACCTAATTTTAGGTTATAAAATTCCCCGATACTTTCAGGCGATTCGAACATCTACATGTGGAACACTGACACACCTTTCGTTCAAGACAACTTCCTTTTGGTCGAGAAGGCTGGTGAGTGCCGACTACCAACCGCGGTTGTTCCTGGTTACAAAGATCTAATGTGGGTAGTCGAGAGCAACTTCCAAGATTACATCGAGAACTCTGTCAGCTGTTCTGGGCCATCGATGGCTATCCATCCATTGCTGAATTCTTGCAGCGAGTAATATTAAAAATCGTGAACGATGCGCTCGATAATGCACGGTTCTTACATTATGCGCAACTAATTTCGTTAGCCTTTTGAGATTTACAGAATATCACTGAGGTTCGAAAGGTTAATCTAGTCATCTAGTCTAATCTAGCCCTCTCCGTACAAAAATTGATATTTGGGCAAAGAATTAATCAACGATGAAATTTTTCCAATAATTATTGCATTTCGTTAATCGCAGCTATTACATTTCAACGTTGTCAATCATAAACGATATAAATATAAATATCTTTCAATTGTTAATCGCGATTAAGGATTCAATCCTTGTTTTAATCATTAATTGTTAATTAAATGCCCTTCAATTTTAACTGCCAGTTTGGTACCTTATTAACGATTATCGACTGTCGATAATTTTTCTTCTGTAGTAGAATTAACGAGATTTCCTGTGTGTAGAACACCTTGGAATAACGTGTAGAAAGATGATGAAATCTTTGCAGGTCCGTGAATATTAATTCCCGATGCAAATGTAATCTTTTATTTGTTTATTTAGCAAGTTTTGAAGGAGGAGCTCAAAATAAGTTAATTAGACTTGTAGTTAACATATGGCTCTCCCAAGGATGCACTATTAGAATAATCAAAATATATCTTCAATTCGAGCGAAATTATAATTAAATTCGAGGTAATAACTTAACACTATTGATCGATTGAATTTTCCGATTTTCCGACTTTTCAACGATTAATCTCCTTAATTTAATCTTAATCAACTTGCATTTATCTAAATGTCTAAATCAGTCAATTTAGATTGATTTTATTTATCGAGAGAATCGGCGATCTTAATTAAAGCAAAAATGATGATCAATTGAAGTAAAAATTTTTATCCCCATTCTACTTCGAGCGACATCGAAGCTGGACAAATATCGACCAGTGTCAAATAAGAAGCTTCGAGCGCCATTTCCAAGATGGCCGACCGAAAATGAAGCAAACGAACTTTACTGTAGAAAGCAACGATTACTTATATATGTAAATGAATAAATGTATTCTGAATGTGATATTTATTAAATACCTCATTATATCACTCCTCATCATTTTGTGCGATAGTCTCTCGTGACGAAAATTAACTTCGACAACGTCGAGCGAACATCCACGATAAATTGATGTCGACGTCATGTAAAATGTGAAAGCTGATTGACACGTTAGAATAACGTGGAATTAAATTGTTAATCGAGAGGTCAACGCAGAGCTGAACAGTCACTGAACTCTATATTTCACTCTGATAAGTGATGTTGACGCGATAAAAAAGAAAAAAAAAAAATTACTCGATCCAAATTATCTTTTAAATCATGTTTCGCACGCAATTATTAATTCTTCTTTTCAGCAATTAGAAAATAGTTTTAATTCAATTGAGTTTATATTATAAGTTTTACGATTTCATCAGGCGGATGACGTTGACAATCGTAATTCGTTTAAGTAAGTATTAACACTTGATTATCGATCCGTTATTGTTGAAGATACGAGAAACGTTAGTTTTTATTTTACGTTAATTTTATTGAAAGCTGTTCGACATAATT